CTCGTTTTATAGCCCCCTGAGACGTCTTGCCAAGTTCATGTTCCTTTTTACGGCTGTCAAGTCTGACTCAGGTGGATGTGGTCATTTTATTTATCTGCTGTTGTACTGATTCTGATATTTGCTGAGGAACTGTCACGTACAATGAAGAGCAAGTATTTTTCTGCTTCCTCTGAGTCTGCTTGCTGCCAGTCTTGGAGTGGTTAACGGGGAAGTCGTGGTATCTGTTTTCACAAAGCTGCTGGTTTAGTTTGCACTCCCAAGTTTTTATTTAGGCTATACAACTGTGAGACAGGTAACATGACCCTTATCATCCTATTATAAATATGAGAAAGTGGAAGTTAAGGAAGCTATAAGACTGGTTCATGGATATACTTTAGTTAAGTGACAGCACCATCTAAATTATTCTACTGATTCCAAATTTAATATTCTTTCCACTTATACAGTCTTTTATACTTAAATGTTTTGCATAGCTTAAGTCAATAAAGCCCTAATTTTCTCATCTTGATATTACTTTTATAACCATGTATCTGGCGATGCAGTGAATAATTCTGTGTTAAGATAATCAGGAATGGAAAATGAGAAGAAAGGATATTGATGGGAAATACAACCCTTGGGAAGCAAATGATCAACCCACATGTTGGCTTCTGGATGTGCAAAGACTCTAGGTCAGTGGTATGGGTAGCAAATATAACGCAAAAAAATTACTCCAACAGGAAGAAAGGCAGAAAGAATAAGTTTTATAACTAGATATTCCCTCATCCAAATACTTTATTGTACAATCAAGCACTTGGCTGTGCTATCATGTCTGTCTCTTTGCACTAAAGTAGTTGGTCCAGCTTCACCATGCCAGCTTTCCTCTCGCACATTAAATAATGTTTGTTCTTACACAAGGTGGGGTAGATTTTCCCATTATGAAAATAGGCACAATTCATATTTTCTGTTGCCTCTCCAGAAAGCTCAAATCTGTGAATAGAAAAACATAGAATTCCTTTGAAAACTAGATAATCAACTATCAAACTCTGTGTAGGATTTATGGCACAAAATAGAAACTATGGGGGGAGTATAACATCACATTCTCACCATTGAGAAGCTTACAGTCTGCTTAGGAATACGAAGTGGACATTTGGAATGGCCAATTGCAATTCAATATAGCATACGATCAAGAAGCACCTGAACACTAGGGAAAACAGGAGTCCAGGGGAAGAGGTGGAATGGCCCTGCAATGATGGAAGGGCTTTAGCTACAGGATCAGAGGCTGATTAAATACTGAGCAAGAAGTGGGATTTAGATCAACAGAGAGGACATTGGTGATCCCTGGAGGGTAAGCAGCTTCACAGATTGGGAATAAGCTCAAGGAAAAGTGACCTGATGAAATATTCTTAAACTGAGGGTTTCTGTTACAAGGTGATAAGTCTAAGTACCTCATATTGTAAGGACTGTTAACTTGTCTATATCCTCAGCTCTATTATTTGATAAGACAAGGGACATATACTTAATAGCTTATTTGCTACATATGTAAGGAACAACAGCGATATCCAGAAGTAGTTCAATGTGCTGTGAGTGGTACAAAAAGCAAGGCCCTTTCTGTTGGAGAACTTACGTGACGGTGACTGGGGGCAGAAATGAGTAAGAAAGCCACATATAAATGGACTAGAAATTTTCAGAAAAAAGAGCGATGAAGAAACAAATGAGACGCTGCGATGGGTGCTGGGGCAGTGGGTGGAGGGAGGCTATGTAGCTTCACTGTTAGTTGTTGACTTCGCTGAAGAAGGGATGTTTATATTTGATTCTGTTTAAGGTTATGGAGTTGCAAAGGCAGAGCATTCTAGGAGGAGAAAACAGCAAGTACAAAAGCCTGAGGTAATTGAAGAAGTTGGAATTTATTTATTTATTTTATGTGTTTGTTTATTTACATGAAAGGCAGAGAGACAGAGAGAAAGCTTCCATTCCCTGGTTCACTCCTCAACTGCCCACAACAGTTAGAGTGAGAGCCAAGCCAAAGCCAAGAGCCCAGATATCCATGCAGGTCATCCATGTGGGTGGCAGGGACCCTGGTTCTTGGACCATCATCTGCTTCCTCACAGGATGTACGTCAGAAGTGAGGTAGCCGGGAGTTGAATCAGGCACTCCAAATGAGATGTGAGTTGCTGCACAAAATGCCTTCCCAACAGTTTAATTTGTTGAAAGAATAGACAGAACACCGGTTCTCCTGTTATACTGTGAATGAGGCAGGAAACAATAGGAGATAAAGCCCATGATCTGTAGAGAAGTTTGCTTGTAGTCGCATCACCTGGGATCCTACCCATAGTAAACATAAATATTTGTTGAATACCTTAAGAATCTAAATAATGAACAGATTGTAAATGTTTGTGTTGTCAGTTTCAATTTGATTTGGAAAAAGACTGCAGTTTTGATAAACAGGATGAATCAAAGAGGTTGAGACTGGAAATTAGAAACCATGTTAAGCAACTTAATTCTGAATGCAGTTGGCTCTTTGGCTGGATTATTAGTGAAAGGATGGAGCCTCAGAGGCAGTTCTGGCACAATGGTCACGTTGCTGCTTGCAAAGTGCCTACGTTCAAGTCCCAGCTGCCCTTCTGACTCCAGTTTCCTGCGAATGTGCACCCCAGAGGCCACAGGTAGTTCAAGTACTTCCCTGTCACTTAACATGGGAGACCCAGATTGAGTTCCAGGCTCCTGGCTTCCACCTGGCCCAGCCCCAGTTGTTGCAGGCAGTTAGAGAATGAACTAAAAGGTGCAAGATTTCTGTATTTTTGTCTCTGTCTCTATGCCTTTTAAATAAAAATAAATTTTTAAAAGGATGGAACCTCATTACATGAACAGTAGAATTGCCTTGTGAATTAAAATATACCTGATTCCTAGAGACTCCTAGGGCAGAAGAGAAGGCAAAACAATTCTGAAAAGTCAAAGAATCCTTAAGGTAGTGCCTTTCAATGATAAAATATTGAGGCTAATTTTTTTCTAAAAAATATGTAGAGGGATTCAGATCAAGTTACACATACACACACACAGGAACACACACATCTACAATGTTCTGAAGTCAAAGACTGAAACAAATGGGGGAAATAATCAGGAATGAAGGTGGACTGTGGCTTAAGTAAAGAGGAGCAGGTGAATTGGAGAGGGGAAAGTAGACCTGTCCCCTGGCCAGTGCTCTCTTGTTAGGAGTGGGGGATACGTGACTTCATTGCTGTTTCTATAATCCTTTGTGGGGTGTAGAGATGCCTCTCGGTTTGAAAGTGCTTGTCCTCAAGAGGAAAAGGAGCCTATCTCAGGAATACGGCTACTAATAGTTCCTTCTATTTTGAGGGACTTACACATTTTTGGAGAGAACTGAACCATCTTCCCACATCCAGCCTTCACTGGAGTTCTGGCGAGATAATCCAACCCAACGAATTAAACCAGTCCTGCCTTTGAGATACTCCTATTGCAAACAAATGTAGTAGTCAGAATGCTTCCACAACTCTTGGTAATGATACAAAGACAAAGCTCATGGTAAGACTTTGGGAAGAAAAGCTGAATGACATGTCTATATTAATATTACTAATGGACTTTATTTGATGTTTAGAATTGTACCAAGCCGACTTGTTTTAAAACCTTAAAAACGTGTACAATGCAGGAAAAATTATATACAAAAATAGCTGATATTCTAGCATTCCTATGTGTTTATAATATATGCTTATATTTTCCATCAGTTGAAAATTAGAGTCCCAAATAGACTACAAAATATAATTCAAATGGGATAAGTTACAAATAACTAAAAAAACAAAAGGTAAACTTTATATTCTTAAATTGTTTGATTTTATTGCTTAGGTTGTCTATAAAATCTTACATACAGAAGTATTGATTTGTTTTATTCATTGTTGCTCCAATCAGAACACAAACTATTTGAGGATAGGGATTATTATCTGTTTGGTTAACTGCATGTATCCAAGTCCTGGAAGAGTTCTAGCACATGTTTGGTGAATTAATATTTAATCAATCTCTGAGTAACAGAGTTAACATGAGGTCAAATGTTCACAAAAATTTATACCTCCCAGAATACCAAAGGAGAATGCATTCTTGGCAAATAAAACATAACTTAAGCTTCTCAAGAGGCAAGTGAGACTCAGAATGACATTCCACAACCTAGCATCAACATACAGTATTAATATTCAGGTTGTGGCTTATAATATATTCAATTAATCTTTTCATAATGGAGTTGAGATTTTAGGGCATTATCCTATTTTGCTAATGGAAAGAAAACTCCATTTATTTAACTGAATATCTTCTTTATGATCTGAACCCACAAAAAGAGTAAATGCCACAATTTAGAATAACAGGGAGCATAAAGGATCATTAATATCCCTTGGCAAGCCAGTGCCGCGGCTCACTAGGCTAATCCTCCGCCTTGCGTCGCTGGTACACCGGGTTCTAGTCCCGGTCAGGGCACCAGATTCTGTCCTGGTTGCCCCTCTTCCAGGCCAGCTCTCTGCTGTGGCCAGGGAGTGCAGTGGAGGATGGCCCAAGTGCTTGGGCCCTGCACCCCGTGGGAGACCAGGATAAGTACCTGGCTCCTGCCATTGGATCAGCATGGTGCGCCGGCCACAGCGTGCCGGCCGCGGCGGCCATTGGAGGGTGAACCAACGGCCAAGGAAGACCTTTCTCTCTGTGTGTGTGTGTCTCTCTCTCTCACTGTCCACTCTGCCTGTCAAAAAAATAAATAAATATCACTGGGCTGAGTCCTCATATGTGATCCGCTGTGTACATTAGCAACCAAGAAGGTACAAGTAAATTTTTCTGATCAAATGATAATGATTCTATAGAATATGAATGAATTGAATATTTGAGTTCTATCATTTTTGTACTGAGCTCAGTAAGGGTCTTAGATCAATACAAACTGGAAAACATAAGAAAAATGCAAAAATAAGGATAAATATTATATTTGAGATTTTTTTTTCCTTATGTCCCCAAAGTATGTGATGTAGGAGTCTCCTTACCAGAATGTTCCGGCTGGTAATCTTCAGAAGAGTAGCATTCACGTCGGAGCAATACTGCTTACCCTCTTGCCACGTCAAGTTGTGCTTGAAGAATCCATAGCAGCTATCTCCATAATACCTCCAGTTTGGATCACAGGGATTGCATTTGTGGTCTTCAAGGGAAACCAAACATAGGGACCCTCTCATTCCAAGTTTGGCTTACGTTTTCCCACATCCCTGCTGTCCTCAAGGCTCCCTTCAGTTACCGCCACAGAACCACAGGGTTTGGGGCGATGATGAACAGGGGACCCAACAATACTTACTGACACTTCCTTTTTTTTCTGCCTGTTTGAGTAAATCTTGGCAGAAGTGCCTCGCCAATCGTTGCAGAGTTCCCGAGAGCTTTTCCTTCTCAGCTTGCAGGTAATTTTGCTGTGTGACAGCTGGATGTAAAAATTAGATGATAACTTATTAACAGGATCATAGGAGTGATGCAAAAATCTCTCAGTAAACTTTCCTTCAGGGAATTACCAATGTACGAAGAGTTTATATACACAAAAGTGGGTCCTAAGAAAGGTAAGAGAGAATTTAAGAATAACATGCAAAAAAACCTCTCAGGTGTGAAGGGAGTGAACTATTTGAATGAGACAATTATAAATAAGAGAAACTCATGACCAAATCACATGACCAACATGATTGTCTTTTGACATTTCCTTGAATACATGTTTCTGAACTAAGTTCATAGAGGTGAAAGATATCTGTTATTCTCTGTTCTTCATGTAATATCTAAGTGTTCATTTATTTACAAATATATATTGATTTCTTGTAATGCTTAAAGTACTCTGATATTCACATAAGTAAAAGAAGATAAATGGGGCCAACACTGTGGCATAGATTACGCCTCCACCCGCAGTGCTGGCATCCCATATGGGCACCAGTTTTGGTCCCAGCTGTTCCTCTTCTGATTCAGCTCTCTACTTATGGCCTGGGGAAGCAATAGAAAATGGCCCAAGTGCTTGGGTCCTGCACCCACATAGGAGAAGCTCCTGGCTTCAGATTGGCCCAGCCCTAGCTGTTGTGGCCTTTTGGGGAGTGAGCCAGCCAGTGGAAAACCTTTCTTTCTGTCTCTCCCTCTCTGTGTCCATAACTCTGCCTCTCAAATAAAAATCTCTTTTTAAAAAAGATGATAAATGAAATATTCTAAAATACTGTGTGAAAAATAAACAAAACACACAAACTACAACAATTACAAAGACAACAGTGTGACATTGGAGGGCTACTTAGATTTTTCAGGAAGAAAAACAATAGCTCAGTAAATGGGAAGGAGGACATTTCAGAGGGAGGGAATAGAATGAATGAACTTTCAGACAAGAAAACAGGGGATTTATTTATGTTAGGAAAACTCTAGGTTGGTTGGGTCTTAGGATACATGAGATAGAAAAAAGTTTTAAAAGATGGTTTGGATTCATAGTGCGGAGAATCTTTCTTCTTGAAAATTGTATTTAATTATTTTATTTGAGAGGCAGGGAGAGAGAGAAATCTCCCATCTGCTGGCTTACTCCCCGCATGCCTACAACAGCCAGAGCTGGGCCTGGACAAAGTCAGGAGTCAGGGACTCAATCCAGGTCTCCTACATGGGGGGCAGGGACCCAGCTACTTGAGCTCTCACCTGCTGCCACCAGGGTGATCATTAGTAGAAAGCTGGAATCTGAGGCCAGCTTGGGACTTGAACCCAGACACTCTGATAGAGGATGTGGGTATCACAAACACAGTCTTATCCATTGCACCCCAATGCCACCAGAATCTTCCTGCTTTAAATTCTTGGAAAATAGTTTTTAATTAATAAAAATATTTAAAAGTGGTTTTTTTTTTTTTTTTTTTGACAGGCAGAGTGGACAGTGAGAGAGAGAGACAGAGAGAAAGGTCTTCCTTTGCCGTTGGTTCACCCTCCAATGGCCGCCGTGGCCGGCGCGCTGCTGCCGGCGCACCGCGCTGATCCGATGGCAGGAGCCAGGAGCCAGGTGCTTTTCCTGGTCTCCCATGGGGTGCAGGGCCCAAGCACCTGGGCCATCCTCCACTGCACTCCCTGGCCACAGCAGAGGGCTGGCCTGGAAGAGGGGCAACCGGGACAGAATCCGGCGCCCCGACCGGGACTAGAACCCGGTGTGCCGGCGCCGCTAGGCGGAGGATTAGCCTAGTGAGCCGCGGCGCCGGCCTAAAAGTGGTTTTAATCAGAGGGAAAGGTCAAGTTTTCTTGAGACTATCTTGGCAGTCATTCCTAGGAGGATTCCAGTAGTGGCAAATAGCAACAATCAAGACGCTTAGTGGGACACACCACAACCCTTAGTAAGCCTTTCCTCAGACCAAATCTGTGGCAAAGAGTTAATACTTACACATAATCCCCAGAGCCACCAGCCCAACAACCATCCCCATGCACAAGGTCAGCAAAGTCAACGCCATCACACGCCACCAAGAAGAGGCTGTCGGGTCATCTGTAGGCACAGAATGAAGTCCAGGAACATGCAGTGTGGAGCAGTGTCACCTTGCCCCTGCCCTCCCTGAATTTTCCAAGGCATATAAACAGCTTCATTGCCACACCTTGCCTATTTGTCCCTTGTGATCACCAACAAAAAGCACAACCCACTTCCACCTCACACACGCAGGTCCATGGATCCTCTCTTTTGGACCCAAAACTTAACTAGCTGTTAAGGCCTGTTTGTCTTTGTTCTGCTTTCTGCCCACCCACATCAATCATCACTTTAACAAGCAACAACTGGAGAATCACATCCCTTGGCTGATTTTAAAAACAGACCTTCCAAACATTCTCTCCCCTCAACCCCTCGGCTTCTATGCCTTCTGTCATTAAACTCCAAGGTGCTGAATGTCAATGTCATAGTCTCTGCTTGGATCTCTGTTGTTCATATTGTAAATTAGTCCGCATGAGCCTACAGAGTCACTACGCAAATGCTGTAGAAAAAGGACGTCCTTCAGGGAAAATAAATAAATCAAACGACTCATGCTACCACTAGTGGAGAGAGAGAGAATAGGATGGACCCACCGCACTCATTAATTTCTAAACTGCTGGCTCTGGGCACTCTTACCTGAGGTCACTGCTGGTTTCTGAGTTTTAATATTTAAGGTCATGTATCCGTCTTCAGCCTGCATGGCTTCCTCTGGACAGCAAGTGAGCTCAATGACTGTGCCAGACGTGCGTCCACCCGCAGAATGTTGGTATCTGCCAGGATGTGCTCCTCTCTCTGGTGGGTAAGATCGTGTGAGTTGGGACACATGGGGTGTTTGTTGTTGTTTTGTGTTTTTCAGGAAGCCTTTTCATAGCTGCTCAGAGATACATGGACCTTGAACACAAAAATAATAATAACTTGTGGTAAAGGAGTAGATAGGGCATTTGTTTCCTGTTTCCTTATCTTCGGCTCTGAAGAAGGGTTATTCCATCATGTGTATCCTCTGAAAGAACAAAAGATCATGCTGTGTCTTAACCCCAGCAGAGTCCCAATCAAATTGTTGTGGGATAGGCAGCTCCCTGCTGGGCTTACCGCAGGTTCTTCCTTCCACATGGGAAACGGTTCAAAGGTGGAGGCACAAAGATGGACGGGAGAGCAGGAGCCATTTGGAGCAAAACAAAAGTGCAAGTTCAAGAACCAAGCAGGAAGGATGCAAAAGCCGAAAATGCAAAAAGGCCCCAGGCAAAGTAACACCACACTCCAGGGAAAAACCTCCAACAGTGAAAAAGCCTTGATCAAGAGAAAAGCCCCATCAACAAGATTAGGTCTCCCCTTCAGGGAATGCATAGGGAATGATGTCCAGGGTGGAACCCAACTGAATATTCAAAAGGGGGTGGGGTCAGGGGTGGGGCTTGAGCAGCACCCATCTCCGTGCCCATTTTAGGAAATACCAGAAGTCACAGTGTCAAAGGCATGCTGGGAGTGGGCGTGCCCACATGGTAATTTTATTATAATGACCTGGAGGTCACGGGGGAGGGACCCATCCTTAAGCCATCTTGGATATTTCGAGCTATCGCTGGTTCCAAGTTCACAACTTTATGGTTTCGGTCCTCAGAGAGGGGCGTGGACTTACTGATATATGAGGGGGTGCGTCTGTACCATGTCCAGAAAGGGAGGCCTGGCCTGTGCCCTGGAGGGGAAGCGCACTCAGCCTACAGCTTAAGCCAGGTGGTTGTATGGGCCGGCTGCAACTCTCCCACCTGAGAGTGACTGTGGCTGTGGAAAAGGCAGATCACCTGCAGCTGTCACTCAAGGACTACCTTCCATGGGTCCTCAAAGAACCACCAATAAGCACTTTGGTTGCAGACGTGCGTTACAGACCCATACCACGCCCCTACTCCCACCCTCTGGGTTCAGCTAGAGTGATCTGACTTCTGTTCAGTTAGAACTGCCAATCATCGCTGTCGGGTGGGTCCATGAGGGAATTTCAACGAATTCGGGGAAAACAGAATTAAAAGGTATATTTACTTTGATGCAAAAAGTTTTGAAATACATGCATAGTTTTTTTTAAAAGATTTATTTATTTATTTGAAAGTCAGAGTTACACAGAGAAAGAGAGGCAGAGAGAGAGAGAGGACTTCCATCCGACCGCAACACCAGCCCCATAGGCATAGTTTTTTCATAAGATACATTTTCCATGAACTTTTGGCAGATACTTTGATTAGTGTATCCCATTGTGAGCAGCTGTTCTGCATTAATTTAATGTGATGTAGAGCTAGATTAGATGTTGTGTGGTTTTCTATTGGGAGAAACCATTCCTGACCACTACCCAGAATTTATCCAAATTCTTGCATCTTCTATAAGCCAATTTTTCAAAAATATGAGGATTCTGCATGAGATAGGCCTAATATTGCTTGAAACTAGGTTTTGAATGAAAACAAAGGGTGAAATAATACAGTTAGCAACTTGATGCATTGCCCTTCAGTAATGTTGTGCTTTAAGGTGGATTTTCTAGAATGGAAACACCTGGTTGGCTCCACCTGCGGCGCCAGCACACCGGATTCTAGTCCCGGTTGGGGCACCAGATTCTGTCCCAGTTGCCCCTCTTCCAGGTCAGCTCTCTGCTCTGGCCCAGGAGTGCAGTGGAGGATAGCCCAAGTCCTTGGGCCCTGTACCCGCATGGGAAACCAGGAGAAGCACCTGGCTCCTGGCTTCGGATCAGCACGGTGCGCCGGCCGCGGCGGCCACTGTGGGGTGAACCAATGGAAAAGGAAGAAATTTCTCTCTCTCTCTCCTCTCTCTCTCTCACTGTCCACTCTGCCTGTCCAAAAAAATTAAAACCCCACATCTTATTTCAGTGAAATTATTTAATTTCAGGCAGAGTGGTATTTAGGTGAAGAAATGTTTGGTGTAGAATGACTTCCTAGTGTTCTTTCCATCACAAAGTAACGTATATCCCATGCATTTAACTTCCAACTTTTCCCCATTCAATAGGATGCTGGCCATGGGTTTTTCATAAATTGCTTTGATTGTATTGAGGAATGTTCCTTCCATACCCAGTTTGCTTAAAGTTTTCATCATGATAGGGTGTTGTATTTTATCAAATGCTTTCTCTGCATCTATTGAGATAATCATATGGTTTTTGTTCTGCAGTTTGTTAATGTGTGTATCACATTGATTGATTTGCAAACATTGAACCATCCCTGCACACCAGGGATAAATCTCACTTGGTCTGGGTGGATGATCTTTCTGATGTGTTGTTGCATTCTATTAGCGAGAATTTTATTGAGGATTTTTGCATCTATGTTCATCAGGGATATTGGTCTGTAATTTTCTTTCAGTGCTGCATCTTTCTCCAGCTTAGGAATTAAAGTGATGCTGGCTTCATTTAAAGAATTTGGGAGGATTCCCTCTTTTTTGATTGTTCTGAATAGTTTGAGAAGAATTGGAGTTAGTTCTTCTTTAAATGTCTGATAGAATTCAGCAGTGAATCCATATGGTCCCAGGCTTTTCTTTGTTGGGAGGGCCTTTACTACTGTTTCAATTTCTGACTCATTTATGGATCTTTTTAGGTTTTCTATGTCTTCCTGGTTCAGTTTCAGTAGGTTGTATGTGTCCAGGAATCTATGCATTTCTAATAGGTTTCCCTTTTTGCTGGCATACAAGTCCTTGTAGTAATTTCTGATAACTCTCTTTATTTCTATAGTGTCTGTTGTTACATTTCCTTTTTCATCTCTGATTTTATTAATTTGAGTCTTTTCTTTTTTTAGTTAGTTGGGCCAATGGGGTGTCAATTTTGTTTATTTTTTCAAAAACCAACTCCTCGTTTGGCTGATTTTTTGTAATTTTTTTTATTCAATCCTATTGATTTCTTCTCTGATTTTGATTGTTTCTCTTCTCCTGTTAGATTTGTGTCTGGTTTACTGCAGTTTTTCTAGGTCCTTGAGATGCATTTAAAGCTCATTTATTTGGTGCCTTTCCAATTTCTTGATGTAGGCACCTATTGCTATAAATTTTCCTCTTAGCACTGCTTTTGCTGTATCTCATAAGTTTTGATATGTTGTGCTGTTGTCCTCATTTACTTCCAGAAACTTTTTGATTTCTCTTTTGACTTCTATGACCCAGTGTTCATTCAGGAGCATGTTGTTCAATCTCCATGTGTTTGTATATGTTCTAGGGATTCCTGAGTTGCTAATTTCCAACTTCATTCCTTTATGGTCTGAGAAGCTGCAAGGTATGATTCTAATTCTTTTGAATTTGTTGAGACTTGCTTTATGGCCTAGTATGTGGTCAATCCTAGAGAAGGTTCCATGTACTGCAGAGAAGAATGTAAATTCTTTATGTGTAGGATGAAAAGTTCTGTAGATATCTGTTAGATCCATTTGGGCAATAGTGTCGTTTAAATCTGCTGTTTCCTTGTTGATCTTCTGTCTGGTTGATCTGTCTTTTTCTGAGAGTGGAGTATTGAAGTCCCCTAGTACTATTGTATTGGAATCTAAGTCTCCCTTTAAGTCCCTTAATATATCTTTTAAATAAAGCGGTGCCCTGTAATTAGGTGCATATACATTGATAATCATTATATCTTCCTGTTGAATTGATCCCTTAATCATTATATAGTGCCCCTCTTTGTCTCTCTTAACAGTTTTTGTGTTAAAGTTTATTTTGTCTGATATTAAGATGGCTACGCCCGCTCTTTTTTCATTTCTGTTGACATGGTATATATTTTTCCAGCCTTTCACTTTCAGTCTGCATGCATCTTTGTTGGAAAGATGTGTTTCTTATAAGCAGCAAATAGATGGGTTTGGTACCTTAACTCATTCAGCCAATCTGTGCCTTTTAACTGGAGAGTTGAGGCCATTAACGTTCAATGTGACTATTGATAAGTAGTAACTTTGATATTTCTAATATATGCTTTGAACTTCCTGTGATCTTTTGCTGTGAGGTTTCCTTCCTTTACCTTCTTTCATACTGATGGCCATGTTTCTGTGTTTCTGTGTGTAACACATCTTTAAGCATTTTTTGCAGGGCTGGACGAGTGGCGACAAATTCTTTCAATTTCTGTTTGATATGAAAGGTCTTTATTTCACCTTCATTCACAAATGAGAGCTTTGCAGGATATAATATTCTGGGCTGGCAGTTTTTCTCTCTTAGCACCTGGGCTGTGTCTCGCCATTCCCTCCTAGCCTGTAGGGTTTCTGCTGAGAAGTCTGCTGTGAGTCTTATTGGAGATCCTCTGAGAGTAATCTGACGTTTCTCTCTTGCACTTTTTAGGATCTTTTCTTTATGTTTCACTGTGGTGAATTTGAGTACAACGTGTCATGGTGAGGATCTCTTTTGGTCATGTTTACTAGGGGTTCTATGAGCTTCCTGTACTAGGATGTCTCTGTCCTTCTCCAAACCCAGAAAGTTCTCTGCTAGTATCTCACTAAAAAGGCCTTCTAATCCTTTCTCTCTCTCCATGCCTTCAGGAACTCCTAGAACTCGAATGTTGGGTTTTTAAATAGTATCCTGTAGATTCCCAACAATATTTTTTTAGATTTCTAATTTCCTCTTCTTTTCTTTGGTTTGACTGTATACTTTCTTGTGCTCTGTATTCTAAGTCTGATATTCTCTCTTCTGTCTCACTGACTCTGTTTTTAAGGCTCTCTAATGTGTTTGTCATTTGATCTATTGTGTTCTTCATTTCATTTTGATTTCTCTTCACTATCACACTTTCCTGTTCTACTAGTTTCTGCATTTCATTTTGATTCCTCCTTAAGATTTCATTTTCAGGAGAGAGATTTTCTATCCTGTCCAGTAAGGATTTCTGTAGTTCAAGAATCTGTTTTTGAAAACTTCTAAATGTTCTTATCATAAATTTTTTGAAATCCGTATCTTGCATTTCTTCCATCTCATCATCTTCATAATCTTGGCTTGGGGTGTCTTGTTCATTTGGGGGCATCATAATGTCTTCCTTGATCTTGTTGCCTTGCTTTCTGTGTTTGTTGCTTGGCATTGTGGAGATATTTGAATTCTTCTTCCCTTGCTGTGGTGTTTTTTTCTTGTTATACTATGACTGTGTTAAGTGGACTTTCTGCTTTTGGAGGAGCCTTAGAGGCTTGAGGCTTGAGATGGGTGTGGCCAGAGAGCTCTGCTTGGTTCTTCAGGGTTAAGGGTGTGCCAAAGGTGACACACTCAGGTTAGGCATGGTAAATCTCTCTCTTTTTTATTTATTTATTTATTTATTTTTGATTCAGGAGGGAAGTAATACCACACAGCTGAGCAGAATTGAAGATAGTCAGCTTCTGATCTCTGCCTTCTGTGGGTATATTATTTGTCTGCTTTTTCCCAAGGACCA